CCACCGTCGCGCTCAACAAGTTGGTGTACCGTATTTTCTTCTTTCTGCTGCTCCATTCTCTTGTTGGTTCGACAGTACTTAATGATTTCACTCCCCGATATGAGAAATTCCTTTACACCCTCCCTGAAAAGACTGAGAACCGATGCACCCGATTCTGCCCTGCTTGCTCAGGCAAAACCAGGCACAGTTTTTTGCAAAAACTATTACACTTGTGTTTATTTATATTTTTAAAAAAGTGCACTGTCATACGTACCGAGTAACCAAGTAGATCTCTCCGGTGCAGTTTAGAATAAATGATATAAGAAAAGTGCAACGGACTGAACAAATTTTTAAGGTTCTCATTAAGTCAACTCTTTACTCTTTGGGCTAGTGGGAGAGAGAGAGAGAGCGCGCGCAGGGGGGCAGTAGGAAGGATGAAAAGGGGTGAGAGAAGGAGCGGAAATGATTAGGGATTTCATTCAGACGGTTTGACCTTGCCCCGCAATGGACTCGAGGGTTCTAGCTCGACCTTGAAGGCGAAGGGGAGTCGCCCGATCTGACCATGATATCTCAGGATTTTTCTGCCAGCTCGCGACTTTCGTTTTTGTTTATCAAAACTGGCTGCGCCGACTGGCCATACCCCCTGAAGCCAGCCAAGCGGCTCCTCACAGCGCGAAACTGGAAATCCAGGCGCAAAATGCATTTCCAGCCGGGTGTATTGAACTCGCGTGGACTGCGGCGCGGGGGCTGCTGGCGCGGCGATGTGCGCACGGCGACTTCCGGTCGCGGTGAACAAATAGCCAGTCAATCATTTAGGAAAGTCCCAGACGAAAGCAGCCGCAGCACCGGGGCAGTACTCTCATGACCAGGGTAGCAAAAGTGGGCGGGGCGCGCCATGTCTCGCCGGTACACCGCTCGGAAATAGTTTCGGCACGTCCAACGCGCGCAGCGTTGTGGATGGCTGACTGCTGACTGTCGTGGCGCTCTACTCTAGAGTGCGACGTTCATAACCGTTAGTTTGTTGCATTTCGAGTCCTGAAAACAGACTCACATCACAAAACTCCTAGAATCAATGGCGCATTACATGTTGTGTTATTTCGAACTATAGTAGTTTTTGGGGGGGCAGTCTGGTCTTGGGCGACGATGTAGAGTTTCTGTGCGGTCACTCTGGTCACGCTGGTGCTGCTGGCGGCGCGGCCGCGGAGGGGGAGGGGGGGCCTGTAATGCGATAAGCCGACACGCGGAGTGGAGTGACAACAGTCTGAGCATGAATGAATGGCCTGCTACTCTGATCTCGCCGGCTATAGACGTGTCTGCAACGTCCGCTGGTGATTAGCGGAGAATTTCGATCCGCAGGAACAATTTCTCATACTGCTCTTTGACTGGGTGGGGGCGGGGCCACTGCAACAACGGCGGACACTGCAAAATAGAAAAGCAACAACAAACTACGGCCATTCTTGTCTGTCGTTTTACAAGAGAGAGCCGAGAGAACCGGTTAAAACAGCACTTTTACAGTGAGATTTTTCAGCCAACAATCAATATCATTTATTGTGCTCTAAATTTACTGTCTTAAACTGTTTTGAAACTGTGGATTTTTTTGACAGTGCGGCGGCGTCCATAATCGGTCTTGTCCCAATAGGGTCAGCGGCGGGTCAGCAACCCTCTTTCCGGGGGACGGCCGCTGCTTTTGGACTGATTTTCAAATAGCATATGACCCGCGAATGTCGCGAGTTTTATCTCTGTCTGTCTGTCTGCCTGCCTGTCTGTCTGTCTGTCTGTCTGTCTGTCTGTCTGTCTGTCCGTCTGTCCGTCTGTCGGTGTCATTATTTGTTTCATTGTTTTTGTCTCGTCTGCTGGAAACTCACCGCGAAGCAGACGAGACCTCCGGCGTCCGGTCCGACCGGGGGGCGCGACACACTCTTCCAAATGGACAACCGGCCGGTGAGACTTTGAGGTCCAAGTATTAAACTTGCTGAGAGACCCAATCGAAATAAATGCTGACTTCTTGTGACCCTCTTCCCTTCCCCGGGCCCGCCCCCTGCGGCCCCCTTTGAGTAAACAGGCCAGAGCGGCCAAAACAGCTGCCGTCCGTATTTTACAACGCTTTGAACGCGCAGAAGGCGGGAGGGAGGCGTCGGCCGGCTTGTTTACTGACCAATCATACACAAGGAGCAAGCAGCAGCAAGGAGATACCGGGCAGTGGCGCCTGGCGCTAGGAAGAATGCCTGAAATTTATTCCTGTAAACAGCAATACAGCAAAAAAATTTGTGGCATTAAACTAACTCAGAGTTCAATTTTTGTCCACAGCCTTTAAGACCACTACCACTCACCCGTCTCGATGAAGCCGAAGGAAACGAATCCAACGGCGTTCCCTTCGCCATACACCCCTAACCGTCTCCTCTGTTTATTTAGACTGCAAGTCTCCATAATC